ATACAATAATGGTCTCCCTAACACTAATGTGAATGTTGTGATTGTCAAATTTGGTTTCGGAGACCGATATATCATTTTTGTATAAATGTATAGCACATAACAATGTATAACAATAGTATGACGCAGCTGACTTTTGATGTTCGATGTTTGCATCTACACCTTAGTATCAACTTAAAAAAACTTTTAAGTTAAACGGTTTTATTTTGTGTGCACTGTAAATTACAAATATTTTAAATTTTGACATAATCGTCAAATCATCGTGTTTTACTAGCCCTTTCATTTGATACCCATATTGAGGGGGTTAAGGAAAATATGTAATCCGCCATTTTGTATTGGCGGCCATCTTAGATTTTTAGTGTTTTTTATTTTATTATACTGTATTGTTATCTAAATTAAATGTGTGTACTAAATTTCAGATTAATTTGACAACGGTAAGGTGCTTAAATTTAAATTTCTATTTTTGACCCAAATAAATAAATTCAGTTCGGGTCGAGCTAAATAAAACCGTTTAAAATCCGTCACCAGTGAAACAGAATTGAGATAGCTTGGAATATAATCGGCCACTTACTTAAGATATAAAAGATTATTAAAAGTCCCATTAAAAGAAACTACTCAAAGGATGGTTGATGTTACTACTAAGTTACATTTAAATAAAACACTTTAACGGTTTAAAACGCGATATATTAGTTAAACTTATTTGAAAATGATTTTTACGACGTTTCGGATGCTTTGCAGCAGCCGTGATTTTCAAATAAGTTTAACTAATATATCGCGTTTTAAACCGTTAAAGTGTTTTATTTAAATTAGTACTACTCGAGTAAACTACAGACAGTATTTACTAAGTTTCAGTTGAGTACAGTGATAGTACATATTAGTAACTATAGAACTTAATAATTTCTTAATGTAATGGTTAGTTATCATACTAATAAGTGAATGTATACATTCTTTCATAAACTTGGCTTGTTGGCCTAATGTAGCTAATAATCAACAGTCGTGGATTCGATCTGGTTTCAACATATTATTAAAATAATATAATGTGACTGAAATATGTCAGACTTCGTCTGGATCTTTCTAGGTACAAATCTAGATTCCGTCGATTCACCAGCCACCGTGATTAATCGCGTTTCGCTTTCAGTCTGTGGATTTCCGAATATCCAAAGCCAAAACATCACATCTTGTTTAGATTTAATGTATGAGTATATCGCCTTCCATTTAATGAAACTATATGCTTGTCCATCTTCTTCTATGATAAAAAAAAAACTAAAATTCTGATTGAAAATTACGAACTCCAATCAAAATTGTTAATATAAACTCAGTCAACATTGGTCGGCAAATTAATATTTTAAATGGAATTTCGCTATTGAATAGCTTCATCAAATAAATCTCTTAATTGTATTTGGTAAACACTAGCCGCTAATAAAAAGTTTTATTTTCCTAACGAGGCTGATAGCGTCATAAATAAAAATGGTTTTATTTTAATTATGTCAAACTTATACATACCGACCGTGCTTTCCTAGCGTTGACTTTGAAAATAACAACAATGTTGTATTTCTTATGTTATGTTCTATTAAATAACTAAGGTAGAAAGAAGGCAACTTTTCTCTATCAGCTTTTCTAAGTAATTTTATTGTATCTTGATTAATAAAAAATAAGACATATATGTATACAACAAAATATAAATATTGTTTGTGTAAGTCTCTAGTAAGTATTTTTAAATATTAAATAGAATTATATATATGAAGAGTATGAAAAACTGAAACACTATCTTAAAATAAAAATAGTTATGTATTTCGCGAGGTTTTATTATCAACTAGCTGGTATGCTTCGTCTGCGTAGAATAGTTATTTTATACGACATCGGTCGCGTCCCTTCCCGTCGTTCTTCCAGATTATCTTAAAAGATAGATAGATAGCGTCACGAACTTTTTTAAAATCATTTAAAGAGGAATCATTCTCTCTCATATTTTTTGGGTACCTTGAACCATTTTTGCAGCGTACGCCTCGGAAACCCATGATGATGAATAATTTTCCCAACTTTTGTTACATTCCCGCTGTATCTTCGCTCCTATTAGATAACTATGATATAGCCTTTATAGGGCGACGTTTTATAACCTATAAAACCTTTCCCTTTTTTTTTTAAAAAAATAAAAAAAAAATTTTTCAATTTGAACGAGTAGTTCTTGAGATTAGCGCGTTCAACAAACAAACAAACTCTTCAGCTTTATGTATTAGTATAGATATTGTAAGAGATATACACTTTCAAGTAGACTGTAAAAAAGCGTCTCATCATCAGCAATTATACGAAGAACGAAAATTAGGCGAAAGCTAATTGTTGTTTAAAACTTGGCGACGTCGTAGAATGAGATAAATTTAACTCAAGATTTTAAGAGTTATTGCGAGGGAGTTTTAAGTCGTCGTTTAAGTTTATTGCGGGATTTTCTTAGTATTTTGATTCTTATTTCGACTTATTTAAAAGAGGATGACTGATTGATTTGACTATATGTATCCGTTTAAATAAAACATCTGTTCCATCGAAGTTGGTATTTAAACGGAACAGATGGCGGTAGCGTAGCAGTATTTCACTTTAACGTCCGACGGCCTTCATCGTTAGTCTCCCCGTGACCACGGCTGCTGTATCCGAAACGTCGGGCCGTATTTAAAATAATTTTCAAACAAGTTACACTAATATATATCTCGTTTTAAACCTTGCTTTTTTTTTCCCCAAAAAAAAAATTTATTAAACCTATTATTAAAATAGTTATAAACTATGTAACTTAGCTAACGTTGTTTTGTTGTTTGCAGGATTAATATTATGTTGATACAACTCTAATAAATAATTGGTAATAATGTATCTTTAGTTTCAACCAAATACTGTCTGTAGGTTACGCGAGTGGTACACATTTAAATAAAATATTTTATTGTTTAAAACACGATATATATTAGTAAGACTTATTTGAATTTATTTTAACTACGGCTGCACGTTTCAGATGCTTTGCAGCAGCCGTGGTCATGGGGAGACGACGGGCTGTTGTTAAAATGGTTTTTAATAAGTTTAACTTATATGTTTTATTTATAAGTTACAACCAAATTTGATTATATTTGATTACATAATACCTTGTAAGATTCTTGCGGACATTTCGGATTCCAAATCATTAGCTAAGTAAATAACGTAAATAAGTAACAAATATCAAATTTCGTTATCATTTTTCGTACTTATTAGTTTTGAGAAAAAGGTTGTTCGTTTTATGGACTACGTAAATAATAAATATAGATAGACACGCGGATAGCTAAGTCTTAGGTCCCGTTTTTATTATTATTCTTTGGTAACGGAACTCTAAAGTCCATAGGCTAGTTTTTGTGACTAAGAAACAGAATATTCCTTTAAACTTTTATATCGTTTAAGTACTTGAAATAAATTATTATTTGAAGTAAATCATTCCAGAGCTGGCATTTCAATTTTGCGGTGTTAGTCAATCTGTTGCGGAAATCGTTACAGACTTAGGCTATGGTTTTTGTATCTTATTTCTTTCCTTGGCCATATCTTAGTAACTTTGAATATTTCGAATGACACGAGCATTATTTAGACGCCATGTTTCGCGCACGGGTATTTTAATCCCTGCCCAGTAGGAGTAGTAAATACATATTGACGTTATTATATCGTTATTCATAGAAACAAACTTGTTAATCTGGGAAGTAAAAGATAGTGACAATAAACTCATTTATATATAATTTTTTTGTACCCATATTAATAAGAAAACGTTTAAAATAAAGTCTGTAGTTTACGCGAGTTACAATTTATTTTTACAACGACCCGACGTCCCGGATACTCTGCAGCGTTCGTGGTTTTGGGGGACCGCGGCTTATGTAAACTATTCGAAACGTCAGGCTGTACTTAAAATATTTTTTAAATAAGGTAACTAATACATTTCGCGTTAAAACCGTCAAAAGTATTTTATTTTAACATTAAAGATTACGAACATTTCTCGGACTTTCTAGTATCATTAGGAATTCTATTTCGTTAATTACGTTCGTTTGTTTCCACGAGAGCACTTCCGTTTCTAATTATCATGATGGCTTAGGGCTCATTAGTTCTAAAATAAAGCAGAGCTAAGTTCTAAACAATTTTTGTTATAATTGTAAGTGGAAGTGTCATGATCGGTCAGAAACAGTTATACTTAAATGATTCAAAGTTCAATATCCATATTGTAAAATATGGTATGTTTGAAAACATTAATATTTTTCACATGTTATTGCACATGAAGGCACTATACAATTTAAAAATCGAAAATAAATTTAAAAAAATTTTCGACTCGGGCAGGACTTAAACCGGCATCGTCAGCTTTCCATGCTGTTGCTCTACCAATTGAGCTACCGAGTCCTACACCTCATCGTCGAATTTTTTCAACTTATTGATACATGCACCTCTCGCGCAGTGTAATTTCAACCTTAACACTTGCGTACTAATTTATTTTTTTGTAATTGATACTTAAACATTCTCAAACCCCTTGATGTGAATGTTAGAGAAATTCTCTTTTTCTAGTTATATTTTTTTGTCATAAAACATATATGTTGATCTTATGGGAGTTAACATATATTTTACCTTCTATTGTTTTATGTTAGAGACAATGACTGGTGGCCAAGTTATCGATTGATAACTTGGCTTGATTAAATGCTGGTCATTTACATGCGATTTTCGATTTAAAATTTCACCATAATTAACTGTAGTTATTTATAATCAACATATATTCAATAAATACACAAAGTAAAGACCATTTATTTGTATATAAGTATAAGAATAGACATAGTGGATAATACAATAAAGTTTTACAAAAATATATAAAACGCTTTAACGGATAAAGTGTTTTATTCAAATATGTACTACTGGCGTTAACTACAGACAGTATTTAAGTAATACATTTCGAGATTTGGTAGGTTTATTTTTTTTATATTCTACTTTATTTAATATAGGCCACTCACAGATTAATACAATACTATATTGGTTTAATGAATAAGACCCAATGTCCGAGCCTTGTCCAACCAATCAGAACGAGATATATAGCTCCCGCAAAGAATGCGTTTCCCGGTAAATGCAGTTCTTCCATGTAGGACGCGGAAGTTGTCGAAGACCAGAACAAACCCTGAAATTAACATACAGTCAATTAAATAAAATGGTTTAAAATGTGAAATATATTATTTAAGTAATTTAAATTTTATTTTAAATACGTTTCGAATACTTTGCACCAGCCGTGGTTTTGGGGGGGGGGCTTATTTATGTTTCAATGTTCAATTTGATTTGGACAATAGTTGATCACGCTATAGTACCTTGCCGTAACAAAACTATAGCTTTTGCTCGGAATTCTTATTAATTCGTGCTTAATTGTTTAGTCACGAAGGGCATCAATAGAAAAGTTTTAAGTTTAAAATTGGCATGTTCTACGAAGAAAGTAAGATAATATAACGTTAACTTTAAATTATTTAAATACTAAAAAAGTTTAACTTACGCACATTAATGATACAAATATGTAAATTGTATACGTTATACGCGATGCATCCATGTAGACAAAGTTTAATAAGTTCATAAAAATTTGAATTTAGCTTCAATAAAACGTCGGAATAAAACTAAGAAAAATTTTAGTTACGGAATTTGTGTTCGCTTGCTAACAATAAATTTTTGTACGAGAATTTCGAAAAGTATAAGTGCAGATTGTTACGAAATGTTTTTACCATTTTAATTAGAAATGACTTATTTGTTTTTTTCATTATTAAAGACAGTTCTCGTGGGTTTGAATCCCGGGCCATCAATCTATTGTTACGTTGAGATAGGACATAAAAGTTGGGGTTAATTACTCGCCCGTAGTAAAATCAGTGAACACAGAAATGAAACGGACACTAAATATGGCAGACAGGAATTTCTTAAATACTGTCTATAGTTTATGCGAGTAGTACACATTTAAATAAAACACTTGACGGTTTAAAACGCGATATATTAGTTAAACTTATTTGAAAATGATTTTTAACGTCGGCTCGACGTTTCGGATGCTTTGCAGCAGCCGTCTCCCCGTGACCACGGCTGTGTTTTATTTAAAGGAAATTCTTATTTTTGTGTAAAATGGTGTAGTGTGTTAAAAATTGTAATGTGCACATTTTTATTACCGACAACATATACAAAACTCTTCGGGGTTGTTTTTAGAGTAAAAGATACATATAACAAGTAATTCGTTTAATATGTTATAGAGTTAGGTGCTTACTATTTATGTTATACAGAAATCAATACTGATTTTTTACATAATGCCTTCCTATACTAAATACAATACTAACTAACCTGGGAGCAGCTTAATCTGCCACTGGTTTTCCCCGTCTTCGAAATACTTGGCCAAGTTCCTCAAGGCACGGTAATAATTTCTGCATTCTTCAGAACTTGCAAACGCCATAGGTGAACGATCGTATGCATTAAATCTAGAAATAAGAAATAAAAATTAATTAACTGGTTAAAATGTGGTTAGAAGAAAAAAATATAGACGAAATGTATTTTGAATATTGCTATTTAGTAGTGCCTACAAACCAAATATAAAAAAATATAGACTATAATATTATTATATAATTACAACTGTTCCAGTAAGTTTATAAGTAACTTGTAAGTTGTTTGAACGCGCTTATCTCAGGAACTACTGGTTCGAATTAAGAAAACCTTTTTTTGTTGGTTAGAAGATCTATCGAGTAAAACAATAAACAATGTGACTAATGGGGGCGAAGAAACTGTATCTTTGTAGGTTGCCGATGCGTACGCTGCGTAAACGGTTCAGGAAAATAATTTCTCCTTGAATTATTTAAAAAATGTCTCTTACACTATATGTTTCTGATCTTTTAAGATTAACTTGCAAGAAACGACGAGACGCGACCGACATCGTGCGTAACAGCTTGAATTTAAAAAGATGCAGGAAGCCTTGCATAAACAAAGTTGAATGCCCAAATTAACTTAGACACGGCTACTATTTAATAAAGACAACATTAAAGAAGACAAATATGTCCATAATACGGTATAGTACATTACTGCAGCGGCCGGCAAGAGAAGTATTGATAAGGCGAAGCCGAGGCACACGTACGTAAGTCCATCAATAACTAGTTGTAGTGGCTTGTATACTTTTCTCAAATAATGCACGGAAATTAAAACTAAGAAATGCAATGTAGGACTTTAAAACCTTTAAAATGACTAACTTGACGAACAACGAAAAGCAAGTTTTTTACGCGCCAAGTATTTTTTACTAAAGCACTTTGATGTGCCAGCCAGTTAGAAATTTAACCTTTTATAAGTAACCTCTTTGGCCGCCATGTTGCGGAGTTGAAAATTGTTCTATTTTTAAATTACAATTTATTTGGTCGCTAAACACGACAGATAAACTGATCGACAAGTATAGCAAGTACGATTTATATCGAGGAAGGTTGTCATAATACACTAGTCCCCAAGCATCTTTGAGCAAAAATATAGTATCGTGACTTATTCCAGGAAGTTATACTATTTGTATATTAAAGTTAGTTTAACCCTAGACTAAAAAAGTCCACAGTAAATTGAAGTAATATAACACGGAGTTAAATAATGATCAATCAAAATGTGTATTAATTGAAATGCTTGGAGGGAAATTATACGGGATAACGGACGTTTGTAATTTCAAAACAAGGATCCGGTTTCCGGATTATAGGCAAACAATGCTTCAATTTATATTCGATATCGGCCCCTTATAATAATAGGCGTATTTTATCAATTTCTTTGTTAAGCTTTAAAAAGCTTAATATATGTATATTTAGAGGCTTATTCTAATTAATGCAATGAGTTAATTTATTATCTACTATACTATTTTTTTTTATTTGTGAACTACACATAGTATTTTTTATATATTTATTTTACAAGTAAGGAAGGACAAACAAGCACGGGGTTGACTTGATAGAAGGTAATATATCCCAGCCATATAACATCTAGAAAGATGCGCGGTTAACCTATTTCGGCTTTGGATACTACACGTCATACAAACTTCACTTCCTTAGTAATCTATACTAATATGTAAAGCTGAAGAGTTTGTTTGTTGGAACGCACTAATCTCAGGAACTACTAGTTCTTTTTTTATTGGTTAGAACATTTATCGAGGAAGGCTATAGGCTATAAAGCATCACGATGTGACTATTAGGAGCGAAGCGGTAAGAACGAGGAAAATTATTCATCTTCGTAGATTTCCGATGCGTGCGCTACGAAAACGGTTCCAGATACACAAAAAATAATTATGTATGAGAGAATGATTTTTCTTTAAATTATTTAAAAACAAATGCCCGCGACAGTATATGTCTATCTCTTAAGATGAACTCAACGCAAGAACGGCGGAAACTGAACGACGGGTCGCGAGTGACGGGACGCGACCGATGACGTAGGTTGGACAGTTCGCAAAAACAATTTTAGATGCCAAAAATAACTATTCTACGCGGACGAAGTTGCTGACTCAGCCAGTAGCTTATAATAGCAGCAAAATAGACTTACCTGATATGTTTAATATTATTAGATCCATCCAGTTGTATAACGGGCGCCGTATTCTTTTGGAAGTGTCCGTCTCCAATATATTCTGCTTCCAACTGAAATTTCGTTAAGAAGTCAAAGTCTTCTGGATGTTCTTCTTTGAGTTTTGTCGCTGCGTAGAATCCATCGATGAAGACGTTCTCTCCACCGGTTCCATTGGTATGTTCCGTGCAATGGAATATTTGGAGTCTGCAAAGAGAAACAAAAACATAAGAGATGGTTGATAAGATGATTATCTGTAGTCTACATAGTGCATGATATATTCCTACAGTCCTTATACTATTTATCGAGAAGGGTTTTTAGGGTATATAATGCACTGCGACCAATATGAGCGAAAAAACAGGGAAATTGAGGCAAAAATGGGCAAAAATAATTTATCTTTCAAGGCTACCGTTGCGTTCGCTGCGAAAACAGTTAAGGAAACAAAAAATATATATGATAGAATGATTTCCATTTATTTGATCTAAAAAATGTTCGCGGCAGTATAGATCTGTCTTTTAAAATTAGCTCGCAAGAATGACGGGTCGAGGACGTTGTGGGTAACAGCTAATTTTTTTAAAGCTAAAGAGGTTGTAATAACTATTCCACGCGAAAGAAGTCGCGGGCACAGGTAGTTTGTACGAAAAGTGGTAAACTGTACTTCACGATCCTCTGCGTTCGAGCTGGTACGACCGACGCTACCAGAGACGGAAGTCGTCTCTCTCTGGTCCGATGTTATAGGAGAGCCCCTTTTAACATTGACCCTTTATTAAGAGTATTAAAATCCTTTCCAGACGATAACTATAAAGTCAGAAATATTAAAATCGGCGATTTTCGAAGCTCTAATCGTTTATTTAGCAACATTTTCCTTTCTTTATATCTGAAATGGGCTTGGGCTTCTTTTATAGCGCCATCAACGCTATGAGAGACGATAAGGTATTAACTTCGGCTGAAACCAATTTCATTAAACTCTAATAAGCGAGAGAAAATCTAATATCATTCATTTTCACGGTTCAGTGCTAAAGGTTTTAACCTAAAAGCCGATGGGAAGGAAACGAAAGGGCTCGTCCCTGCAAAGAGTTTAAATTCTATTTTGTTATTTGCTTCGATACCTACTGTGAGCATTTATCCGTTTATTAAAATTAACTCGAAAAACCTTGCAATAAATGTTTAGCATTATTCTGAAAATTAAGGTAAACGTAGACCTTTTGGATTTTCAGTAAGTTGTATTATTACATTATTTTAAACAAAATAAGCAATGCGATGCGCCATTATTAATAACACGCGACTCGCCCCGGCTTTGTCCGGGTTAATACACTACAGAAAAACTGTAAACGTTGTATATAAAAACCTAGTGCGATGCATTTTGATAGATAGAAGAAATCCGTCGCGCAGTTTTGAAGAATTTAGCGTAGAGAGGGACAGAAAAAACGACTTTTTTATACTATGGGATTCGAACCCAAGACCTCTCGCGCTTAACGCAATGCAATACGTTTAACCATTTGGCTACAGAGGCGATCGTTTTATATTATGTAGTGATAACAAAATAAAACCATTATTTATTTTACAAAAACTATGAGATGAATATTTACGTATTTGAAATTCGTCTTTTAATTTCTAATAAATTATAACCCATTTTCTTCGTATCTTGTTCTTCCCTCTGCACCTAAATGGTCCTCAGTTCGAATTCCGGGGAAACAATAGGTTGTTTCGGCTGATCAAGTAGTTGATTCTGACGAAGCCTGTAAATAAGACCGATCGATGAAACGGACACAGAAATGTGTTTGTCCCATGGAAGGAATCGAGGTTTCACTTGGTAATTTAGTTACATAGTTACTCTATTATTATTGTTCAATTTCTTTTAATACCATCAAATAATAAACACCAGTATAATATTTGAAATTAAATCAGCGTTATATAATATATGCTCTATCCGTTTAATAGGAAAACCCAAGTCACTTATTTCACTAAGAGCTAACGTACGATGTGTACTCAAAACTCAACGAGAACAATGAACAAGACATTTTTGAGGTCTCCCGTACCGTGAAAAGTTAAGGGCGCCGCTTGAGCCGACATTACATCCGCTCTACCGTACTTTACCCTAACCTCTGGAAGCCTCCGAACGAATTGCTAAACAGAATTTGAAAACAGACAGGCTTATTATGCCTCGAGATATTTCGCTGTCACAAATAGGAACGCAATTTTGGTGGTTCGGTCTGATTGGTTACCGAAAATTGCGAAATATTTCAGCTATATCCATGTACCTAGTTGAAGTACTTTAAACGTTGTATTTTTGACGGGTTGACGGACGGGAACTCGTTGCTATAATGGAAATATTGTATGAATACTATTTAACAATCCACACTGGGTCCCAGAAGGTTCTACTTTTAAAATTTTCCATTCCTTCTCACTATTTGTAGATTACGCGAACAGGTCCAGGATTTAAGGCAATATCTAGAATAATTATTAAAAGTGAATACCTTTTCCCCCGTAGAGCATGGGGCAAACACATTACTGTATCTATTTCACTGATCGAACCCGAGCCGAAACAATCTCTTTGTTCCCCCGGTTTGAACTCAGGACCTCACGCGCTTAACGCAAACTGGATAACATTTAACCATTTGGTTACATTGACGGTCAAAATAATTATGACATATGAGAAAAACAACAAAACTGTCAAAAAGAGAAGATACTACAATAATAGAACAAATAAATAAATTAATAAAGTTATTAACGTATAAAAACCCCGAACAAAAACTCAAATTTAGACCTCGTTATATATAATTTGCGTTAAACACGAGAAGTTCCGGGTTGGAAACCCGGGCAAACTATAAATTGTTTAGAGGAGGGCACAGAAGTTTGATCACGTACTTACCGACAAATCCCCACCACAGATACAGAAATCACTTACTGTTGATTCTGAGCATATTTCAAGAGCAATTATGTGTCAATGCGATTCGAACGTAGGACTTTGTAACAAATCGTCGTAAAACTATAAGTAGTCAGTATTTACCCCGCCGGCTCCGTAAAGTACGTGTTATCTGTGTGTTGCTTCAAAGTGATGTTGGTATAAGCTGTGTCAGCATGGTCTGGGTTTGTGCTGACCTTCCACATACCCCCAAACATAGTATGCTGAACCCCGCCTAGGGCCTGGCAGACAACTTCTGTTGCTTCCATTGTCGGTTCGACCTATAGAAAGTAAATAAAATCAAATACTGTGTATTATACGCGTATTACAGTCGTTAAATTGTTTTATTTAAATGTCTACTACTCGCGTAAACTTCTACAACACTTTGACGGTTTAACGCGCGATATATATTAGTTAAACTTAAATACCGACTGTAGTTTAAGTGTACTACTCACTTTTAAATAAAGGTTTAAATTTAGTTAAACTTGTTTGAGAATGATTTTTAACTACCCGACGTTCCGATGCTTTGCAGTAGCCGTGGTCACAAGAAGACTAAAGATGGAGGATGTCTCTGACGTCAAAGAAGAAATTGCTACGCTAGCGCCATCTGTTCCGTCGAAGTTGGTATTTGGCGAAACTGGACGGGTTTTTTTTTATTTTTACAGTGACAGTCAGAGACATCCTCCATCTTTAGTCTCCCCGTGACCACGGCTGCTGCAAAGTATCCGAATCTTAATAAAATGTCAGTCCACCCAGCCCTGTTTACCTATTTTGGCTTTGGATATTTGGACATATAGAGACTGAAACGCGATTTTGTCATTTGTGTGGTTTGTATTTCGTTATTCCTACCAACATTTAATCCAGATTTTCAAAGTCCGATGATCACAAAAGTTATCAACTGATAAGAAACCTGTGGGGGTTGAGCCACTGTCAATATGAGAATTCATTCAAATATGGATAATAAAATAATAAACTGATAAGTAGCAATAGTAAACTAATGATATTGAATATTAGTTATTAGTTAGTTATAAGTCATAGTTTAATAGTATTCTATATTTCTATGCTAGTTTTTAAGTTCAGTGTCGAATTGGGCTCCCACCTGTCATGACATTGTAATTTTAATTATTAAATAAATAAATAAATAAATTCTGCCTGCCATTTATTATTTTTATTTCCACTTACATTTTCTATCAAAGCTATCCCATAATCGAGGAGCGATTGAAAGATGAATTTTTCCCCGTCTTTATTGTTTACGAATTGATTGAGGGGAAGTTTGGCAACTTTTGCAGAGACCCCGTCTCCTCGCCATAAAATTGGTACGTGTCGTAAATGAACCTTCCATGTGTTGTACTCAAATTGGATTAAGAAGTCACCTTCGTACTTTGAAGTGTGACCGTCGCTCCCTGCAAAAACATATACAGCCTAACTCACTCAACTAATTAACCAAGTATAAAATTATTATTTTTGTTATAAAGCTTAAGTAATATCTCCAGTATACTAGTATACATTAAAAATACGCTTTTAACGGTTTAAAATGCGAAATGTATCAGTTCAACTTATTTACAAATTATTTTTACAACAGCCCGAACGTTTCGCGTGACCACGGCTGCTGCAAAGCATCCGAAACGTCTAATACATTTAACGTTTTTAACCGTTTAAAGTGTTTTATTTAAATTATATTAATTATTTTAAGTATGATAAATATAAGATTAAAATATACAGATCTTAAAAAAATAATGATTGTATATTTGGAATAAAATTTGGATGTAGCGTTAAATAGTAAATTATTCAAAATATACACACAATAAAAACAGTCTCAAACTTTATTAGCCATAATACTCGTAACTGAGTAAGCATATAAATTAGTTTAAAATGAACATTTTACGTATCCTTACAGATAGCTAAAATCCTTTATCATACAAACTTGCCTCTCTGAATTAATTATAGAATAACTTACATAGTACAGTTACTGTTGTGTCACTATTTCTCACGCCAGCTATAGTCACTTCAGGTATATCCAAAATATGATTAGCTCTTTGGTTCGTAGACTCATGGTAACATTCTGGGCATCTGAAAATATTATTTATATGATTAGAATAAGATTTATATTTTTTATATCGATAGATACAAAGGCATTTATGTATAATGCTTTTAACTGTTGAAAACGAGAAATATATTCTTGTATAGACCTGTATTACTCGTGTTAACTGCAGACAATACTTAACGCATTTAGAAGGAAAATAATAAATAAAACACTACCTGCAATGATCACGAAGCCAGCAATCTTCGAATGATAAAACTCTATCTTTTATTTGTATTTTCAACGCTGTCCCTTCTACCTTGGCATCTGTTATTTCTGAAGCAAATAAAAAAAACTGTAACCAGTGTAGCATTATATGCATTATAGCGTTAATTTAAAATGTTTAACGGTTTACAACAGAAAATACCTGATGTATCAGAAACTTTACTTCGCTTATTCCACACTTAGTCGCGTTCAAATTAATGTGTCATTATTTTTTTCAATTAAAGGGTAGGGTTGAAAAGAATGTTTTGAAGATCATAATTGTTATAGTCGACATCGTTTTAACCCGTTAAAGTGTTTTATTTAAACCAAATAGTTTCTAATACTTCTAACACGTCTTCCAACTTCGATTAGCAACAAGTGTGGCTGACCCACGTAACCGACTCTCCCCAAGCTCCCGTGAGTAGCTCAAGAACTAAATTGCAATTTGCTGTCGAGTCACGCGCCATTAGCATTTAGAAACACTGCTGAGAACAACAACTTCGCCTTAATACCCTCTAATCGATCTTATTAAACTTGAAAAGCCCTCGTGAGTAAGCACGTTTGGAAACCTTTGGGCACACTATCCATGAATTAATAAAGCCGAGTACACGTTGATGGGTGTGGAGACAAAATCATTGAAATGTTACTTTAGGTATGTAGCTATAGTGCACTAGATGCTAAGTGCTAGGTATTATTACATCAACTGTACTTCAAGTGTGTACATTGATCAGGATTTCCTCCTAGGACATCGATTCACTTTGATTGTAGGACAAATGAGCAAACATAGGAAGTAAAACTTTATTTATTTATTGACACTATTCCAAAAGACAAGGAAAAAAACAAACTATGTGCAATGGGTTGCCTAGCAAGCAATCTCTTCCAGGCAGCTCAGAATGAAAGAAGAATACGTTTATAGAAAGGAAATGTGCAAAATATACAATCTTAAAAATAAAAATAAACAAAGCTCAAATACATTTACTAAACTTAACTAGAACAATTACACTTAAATAAAGAAGGAAATCATAAGAAAATAAATAATATAAGAAAATTAATAGACAGAAAATGTTTGTAAAGGAGCCTTTGCAAAGATAAGAGAGAGGGCGTCATACGAAAGGAAACTGATACGGTATTCTATAAACTGACTATACATCTGAAAGGATTTTAGGAAGGGACTTCAAGAATATGCTGGTCACATGATCATAAATCGTAACTATTCTACGGCTCCATGTATTTAAAGTTAGGTTTTAGATAGAAGAATAGGGAGCAAAAGAATGGAGAATGGAAGATAAATAATAGGCGAATCCCGCCGAGGGCGAATGGGCAGCCATCCCAGTTTTTTACGGAACGCAGAAACATGGTCGAATTTTCTTAAACCCAACACGAATCGGATAGAAAAAAAATCAAATTTTTCGCTTATCCAACAGCTTAGTCTAACAGTGATTAAAGAAGGGTTTGACCTAAAGTGGTCAGTGAAGAAAGATGAATACGTGAAAAAATAAATTTAAGAAAGGTCTACTACCTAGCAATCTAAAGGTTTCGGTACATATAAAATGAAATTACTCATGAAAAAAAGATATGTTTTACAAGTTACTATACAATTTGTCGTATTAAAATCGTCACTAGCGCCATCTACATTCATATATCATTTAAGGACTATAAGTTATTGTTGTCGTTTTCCTTACTCAACCTTTTTTAACAATAACTTTTTATATCAAACTAACGTCACCTCAAAATAAGATAATGTGATTTTAATAACAGGATAAAAAAGATAGATTTCTCAATAAATCACAATTAAAAGGCAATCTTACTTGTCATATTGTCGCTCACACCACAAAACAAGGTTAATCACAGACTGATGCAAACAATTACTTTTGCTGTACAATGTGTCAACGGTCAAACATTATCGGAGGAGAATAATAACAAACGAGTTAATAATCATTATATTTTATTTAAAGCATCGGTTATTAGATAATATGCTATAACAACTTAAGTATGCCGGCCAATTTGTACAAACAAAAACACGCCTCATAGATAAATTATGACCTTACAAAACAAAACTTATCGAGGTGTTATTGTTACATTTAAAACTATCGCGACATAAGTCACGCCCCTATCACATTCTAGAATTTTTCGCATTGCTTGTCTTTCCTTCTATTATTTATGGTGGAGCCCAATTCGCTCTATACCACACCTGGCCGCTATTTTGTGATGTAAATTTGTAGATTTTTAATACCAGCATTTTTAGGTTAACCTTGATATTAAACAGGTTTAAAACTTTGCACAGGTTATATAACCATAACGTTTCAATATTTATAAGCATTAATTTTAAAAATATTGAAGAAGAAAAAAAATGGATCAAAAAATCCCAAATTCAATTGGTCGATAGCTCTTTAGAAGTTTTTAGAAAGTTAAAATAATTGTTACTGAATTACGTCATACAACTTTTACAAAAATGTTTTTTCACTTGTTATTGCATAAATTAAAGTTTTAATTAGATTAAAATAAATTACTTACGTGACACAACAAGATCAATTGGTTAGAACAAAAGCACGGAACGCTGTGGATTCCGGTTCAAGTCCCGCCCTGGTCGTATTTATTTAGTATATATCTAAATCATTTTCTTTTAAGGATTCTGAAGACAAAATTTACCTACTTACGACTTTTAAAAGAGTCGTTTTTAAGCTAAATAGATATATAGAGAGATAGACAAGTTCTATGGTTTAATCCTTGATACTCCTAAAATAAGAATTCTTAACAGCTTCTCAGAGTTACCACTCTAGATAAAATTTCCTTCTGGCTTAATGCATGCAGATTGCACTTAGTTGTGGCAGGTGCATCAAACGTGCTCAGATTTAAGTTAAACTTGACTCTAGAGTTTCGTTTAAGGAATTCGAGAATTTTTTTAGGATTTAGTTTTCTGTCTTGTGAAATAAATGGTTTGAGTTTGAGTTTTTTTTAATTCTTTTTATTGGTTCGGCTTATTTCTTTTTTATAGTTTGGTAGTGCAACATAACAGATACTAACTTTCATTCAGTGAACATTATTCTCTATGTCAGTCTCCCCGTGACCACGGCTGCTGCAAAGCATCCGAAATGTCGGGCCGAAGTTAAAAATCATTTTCAAATAAGTTTAACTAATATATCGCGTTTTAAACCGTTAAAGTGTTTTATTTAAATTATTCTCTATATTCAACATGGGTCATGAAAAATCACAAATTTAAAATTACGCTGCCTTGACGATGAGGACACTATTAGCCTTAGTGGCCCTTATTATTTGACGAATGAACTAACAATAATGATAAATATAGATCATAAAATGTAAGTGTCATTTCTATAAATTTTATTGTAGTCTTAAATAATTAAATAACAGTCAGTGCAACTGAATTCCCATAACACAATCTTTTTCAGGTCCTAACGCAAGACAAATATAATCTATTTGACCCTCCCTTGATTTTCCAAGACAGTAGAGTACTAAGGAAGTAAACATAAACTGTAAGGGTTAAAAATAGAAGACCTGAATCTATTTTCCTGTTTCTCTAGGCATCTAGGTCATAATCTCAATGAATCAAAACATCGTAAATCAAACTTGTTCGATAAATATTTACTCTAATGCGTGATTAAATTGCGTGTCGAATTATGTCTTATTTAATATCTTTTTTAATATTATAATATCCTGGTCAAACCGATGCTGCGTTCTAAAGAAAGTCTGTTTCATACTTCTGTTGATATGCGTAAAAAAAAATACAGTTTAAAAATCCGTACAAGTATCAAATGTGGCACCATTTGATATAGGCTCGAACTTCATGTCCCAACTACACAACGGCTCTCTTGAGTTCTAACAAGAAGGAATCCATTACAATTATATTATATAGAACTCAAAGTTCGACATGTCTCATCTAAGAATAAAAGGGCAACATCAGAAGCCCGTTTCATATCTATGGACATTGCTTTTAGTCTAAGGACATAGTATAAATGTACGAGGAAGGGTTTTATTTACTATATATGAATAACTTTAACAATTTTCAAATATGAAAAGTATATAAAAATTCGCATAAGATTTATAAATCTCCAACATTACGTACTTCTCGATTTAACTGTAAAGTTAAGGCTCAGAAGGTATTTAAAAATGGCACGATAATTGGAGAAGGAAACTATCAAAGCTGAAGACACTTAACTTAAACAATCGTTTTAAAGATGAAGATAAAAATGTTCCAAATTCAAACGTCGTAAAAACTACCCTACAGAGTTCCACCATAATTACGTTCAGATAATGAAATTCCCTCAAATTCGACCATAGTGCCCCTCCATAAATACATTACGAGACATTTTACATAAATCCATCGTATCCATGGCTGGATGGATATAATAAATCATACTGAAAGAAGATTGAGTGTCAGGCATTTGCGCCGTAATTTTATTACGTAGCTTTATGACGGTATTAAAGGGAGAGCTTATCGCACGTTAAGGTCATGTATCGTTCTTAGAAGATTCGTAGTAAAAAACAAACTTTATTACATGCGTTATCGTGGGCGTCTTGCAACAGTACAATGTTATTACCTACGTATATGTAGGCTTTCGCGGCCATTTTGCAAAGCTGCTTGGGTTTTCTGCAACCGTAATTTTGAACCCTTTTAATGTTTAGCGTTCCTCGAGGATGTCTTCGTAGACCTGCTTGTAGTACAGCCGTTGTAATTGATATTTGTAAGGAAGCAAAACAAGAAACGAAATTTAATAAATCAAATACTTTTAAAGGTTTAAAATGCGAAATGTATTAGTTAAACATATATTTTTTATTATTAGTAATTAAAATAAATTGAACTAACACTTTTTGCCTTAAAAGCATACAATTTGTTTTATTTCTATGTGTAATACTCGCATAAACTGCGGACAGTATTTATAATTTACGATTGTACGTTACTATGGCAAAAATGTATTAGGTGGTTTTTTTTAATGTATAAAGTTGGTTATTTGGTTGTATATTTGCATGACTACATTATGTTTATTCACTTATCTTTCAAAACTCTTTTAACCATTTAAATAAAACACTTTAACGGTTTAAAACGCGAAATATTAGTTATACCCATCAACATGTTTTTTTTAAAAGTGTACTACTCGCGTA